CCAGGGGGGGGTGGTTTGTTCCCCCCCCCCCAAAGAGACGCCCCCCCCCCCCCCCCCCCCCAGCAAGCCCTAGCTCAGTGGTGGCTGGTCAACAGGTGACGGTCGGGTGCCTCCCCACCAGTTTCAAAAGACATGATCAATCATGTCATGATTATGTAGGCTGGTTCAGCCCACTATGCATATGCACAGTAAGGCACCTTGGGGTGATCTCCTTACCACCCCAATGGCGAATATGTAGTTGAAACACTTCAACAGTTAGAATGGATTGCAATAACCACTTGTTTAAGCAGGCAGCCAGGCTCCTGTACTGATGCCCCAGCCTGGATGAAGAGCTGTTGGGAGGAAAGCAGAAGACAGGGGATGCCATATGCAGAGACATGCACATGACTCCAGGCAGCCTGCAGAGTAGCTCCAGCAGGTAAGTGTGGGGAGAAGGGTATTGAGGCCCTTGTAGGGATGGAGCTGGGCAGGGCTGGGGCTGCTACCCACCCAGGTGGGGCTTGGGGCTGGGGCCATAATGTGTGGCTGCAGGGCCCCAGCAGGGAGCAGGATGGGGGAATGGCTGGCTCATCCAGGGGAGGGGGAGGGCCAGCTCCCCTCTGCCACACACACCATGGGGGAGCTGAGGTACATTTCCCACCTCTGGCTCCCCTCAGCCCACTGGGCTCTCACAGTCCCATGACCCAGCCCGGCCAGGAACCCATTCACCATGAATGAAGTCTCAGCTGGGCCGGGTCATGGGACAATCAGAACCAGGCAGTTCCTCCTGGGGCGTTGTGCCAGGAAGCCAAGGGGGGCCCCTGGTCCCCTGATCTTTGCACAGGGTATAGGTGGGCTACAGCTGTGATCTGTGCTCTGCTTGCTCCATGCCTTGCTGCTGCCTTTGAAAGCAGTGTGGTGCAGACTCACTGCCTGGCCCGCCCAGCAGTGGGACTCATACAGCGCTGCACTGTGCCGCTTTCAAAGGCAGCAGCAAGGCATGGAGCAGGCAGAGCACAGATCACAGCTGTAGCCCGCTCATGCCCCTTGGTTGCCCAGCACCGTGCCCCTGGAGGAGCCACCGGGCTCTTCCCAGGGACAATGTGGGGTGGGCATGGGGGTTTCATGGGGTCCAGCCCCTCCAGCTCAACCTTGCAGCTGAGACTGGCCCTGTTCTGGCCTCCCCCCTCCTTCCCCCAGGTGGTGCAGGGCTGGGGCCAGTGCAGAGCTGCAGGTTTACAAAGACTACCAGTGCCAGGCAGCGGCTCTGGGCATGGGGGAAGGGATGAATTCAGCGGGCCCCAGTCCTGATCCCAGCCCTGGCTCAGCTCTGATCCCTTGCTCAGTCCCAGATCCATTCCCCCCACCAGGCCCTTCCCCCTCCTCCTGCAAACTTTCCTGGGTGGGGGGTGTATGCACATGTTCAGATCCCTCCAATTTTTTTTCTCCCTCTGCCTATGCCACCCATTAAATCCCCATTAAACCTTCCTTCCCCCAAATACAGAGCTGCCCTGCCCTGCCCTGCTAAACTTACTGAAACTTAGTGCTGGCTATGACTGTGAACTACAAATCGCAGAAGCACCTGGAAGCAGGAAGAGGAAGTGGTGAGCAACCCTACAGAGTCCTGCTGCTATGGTTCTGGACTGCAAATGCCAGAGACCTTGTGGGCAGCTGGAACAAAAAGCAAACACACAGCCCATGCTGGCTATGTACTATTGAGTCATGCTTTAGCACTCCCAGTTTCTGACTTGAGCCACTGCAGGCATATGGCTGCATTCCCTGAATCAAAAGAGAATGTCTGTCCAGTGGTTTCTCAGTTTAATCTCTGAAGTTTAAGCTACCCTGCAAAGACTGAATCAATTTAGCTTCAGGCTTTTTGACTGTCTGTTCTTAGCCTTGAAGGGGAAAGTGGGGGGTAAGGGGAAATAAACACTTATGAAGAGTGTGCACACCCTACTGACACCCTGCAAAGGGCTTTTCTTAAGGTTTGAAGTGAACTATCAAAAGGAGAGAATTCTGATTTTCACTTGTAAATAGTTCAGAAAAGTTTTTAAAATGCTGCTACTGCTGCTTGTTTCTTTGTTTTATTCAGTGAGCTACTCACACTAGTGATGAAAGCAAGCCTAGCCTATACATGAAGTCAAGCATAAAATTAAGAACCATGGCTATCAGGGAGAAAAATCTGCTTAAAGTAGAGAACCAGAACAATTGCTCTGTTTCCCCCAACTTTCTGATCATTACTAACCATTTTATTTCAAACTGCACTTTCATTTTGGCAAAAATACATTTTTCCCCCAGTTTGTTTTAGAATGTAAAATGTATTTTTTATTTTTAACTTTGGCTCATGTTCATGAGCCTTTTCCAATGCAAATTCTTATTCTAGCTAAAGAAGATTGGACTACACCTCCAGAACCTATTACTCTACTATGTCTCTTGTGAGGAGAGAGTATAACGCAGTTATAAAATGACACTTCAAAGAAACTTGGCACAACATGACAGACACATACAAGCACTGGAACTGAGTACTATAGCAACCTCAATTCCTCCATGACTCAGAACCACAGGGATATATTCAGAAGAGAACCTATATCTCTGTTGTGAAGAAAATTGAATTGCCACTAGACAGGTGAGTCAGCTGCCTCTAATGTCTATGCCCACTGACTACATTACCTATCAGATCACTTTCACATGTTGAGGCCACTGAAAATGGGCAGCAGTGCTATTATGTTCTATTTATAATCTCTAAAAACAGTACTTGGTTCATGCCCATACAATGTTCCACACAACATATTCTTAGTGTAACTAATTAACACTATACAGCTTTATACATTGCATGGTATGTCATGTTTTTGTCTTTGTGTATTGGAAACACACAAAATAGGCAGCAGAATATATAGAAGCTGATATTTAAAAACTAATAAGCAAGACATTTTCCCCTCTTACAATGTATTGATCAAAAAAATGAGCC